TCCCCAAAGAATTAAAAGAATCATACCACAGTGATATATGTGCACCCATGTTCATAGCAGCACAATTTGTAATAGTTAAAACTTGGAAGCAGCCCAATTGCCCATCAACTGGAGACTGGATAAAGAAAATAAGTTTTTTTTATAAAATGGAGTACTACTGAGCCATAAAAAATGAGAAATTAAACAGACATATATAGCTAAATGGTGCCCATTGAGGCGGTAGTCTTAAGTGAAATAAATAGGACACACAAGTGTAAATACCGAATAGTTTCTCTAATGTGAGAAACTGAAGGTGTAAATAAGGACTAAAAGGTATAATAGATAATGTGAAATAGGAAGAAAAGGGCCAAAGGGGAAGGCAAGTGGGAGGGGTAGGGGAAAGGAAAGAAGGGAATGGAATTAATATGAGAAAAAGAAAAAATGGAAACAAAGTCTTTGTAGATAAGGAGGGATGGAGGGGTTGAAAGGAGGGCAGGGGAAGAGGGAAAAATAAGAACCAAGAGAGATTATGTAAAGATTAGGTAAATTTCCAATGATAAATGTCATTAAATTGTGTACCTAAAAGGTACCGATAAAATAAAATTTTTTTTAAAAGACATGAAAAATTTCACCAAAAGGTACCTGGAGCTAATAAATGAATTCAGCAAGGCGGCAGGATGCAAAATCAACACAAAGGTTGAGTAGCATTCCTACACACTAATAATGAACTCACCGAGAAAGAAATTAAGAAACCAGTATCATTCACAATAGCATCAATTAAATTCTTTGGAGTTAACCTAACAAAGGAAGTAAAAGACCTCTGTAACAAAAACTATAGTGCTGTGAAAAAGGAGAATGAGGAGAACATCAAAAAATGTAAAGGTTTCTCCTATTCCTATGCAGACAGAAACAATATTGTCAAAATGGCCATACTTCCAAAACTGATATACAAATCTAATGCAGTACTAATCAAAATACCAATAGCATTCCTCACAGAACTAGAAAAAATAAACCTAAAATTTATATGGAACCAGAAGAGACCCAGAATAGCAAAAGCAATCCTGGGCAATAAGAGCAAAGCAGGAGGCATCACAATCCCAAATTTCAAGTTATATTACAAAGCTATGGTAATAAAAACAAAGGCACTGGCACAAAAAAAAGTGGCACAACTCACAATAGCTAAATCCTGGAAACAGCCTATACATCCATCAGCAGATGAATGAATAAAGAAAATATACTATTTATATCCAATGGAGTAGTTCTCTGATATAAAGAATAAATTTGATTCATTTGTAGGAAAACAGATGCATCCAGACCATAATATTGAGTGAAATAAATCAGATACACAAGTTTAAATATCACATGATTTCTCTTATGTAAGGAACCCAAAGTACAGTATAAAGAGCAATATAAAAGATAATAGGAAACAGGGAGATAAGATTTTTTGCAAATGTGAAGGAGACCAAGAGTCAAAGAGATAGAGATATAAAAAGAATTAAGATGTGTTATGTACCTGTACTACATCTCTGTAATGAATATAATCATTATGTACTACAAACATGTACTAATAAAATAAAAATTTTAAAAATCTGAAACATTTGAAATCCTGAATTTCATAAAGAGTAGCCACTTATTATCAATATATTTGCATAGTTAAGAGCACAGATTCTAGAGTCAGAATGTCTTAGTTCAAAACCACCCATTGTACCTACTAACACATTGGGTAATTCACTGAACTTCTCTGAGCCTCAGTTCTCACATCTGAAAAATGAAGATAACAGTACACACCTCACTGGATGATGGCAAAGAATAAATGAGATAATACACATGGAATACTTGGGACAGTACCTCTCCATTGCAAACACTCAATGAGTACCGGCTTTAACTTGCAGATACCATACTTTTACGTCAACATTGTGACATCCCTGGGACTATCATAAAAGTAAATTCTGATCCTACAGATAACCAATAGGTAGGAAGAAAACCAGCTTTATCTCTTTTTCCTGCCCCATCATCATCAACTAACACACAGGTGACAATCACTGACCCACCACACAGTAGAGTGTTTTACCATTTTAATTCTATAAACTAGTTACCCAATAACCAGAGGAAATACCAAAACTCAAAAAGTTTACAATGCATAGAACAGTTTAGAAATGTGTGACTGTGGGCCGGGGATTTAGCTCAGTGGTTTTGCCACCCACTGCGCAAGCACAAGGACCCAAGTTCGATCCCCAGTACCAAAAAAAAAAAAAAAAAGAAATGTGTGACTGCAGAAGGAGGTAGATATGGGAGACAGTGAAGAGTTAAGTGAATAGTCTCCAAATCCCATACAGATGAACTTATTGGCCTACCCAAACCAGTACACAATAAGGCAAAGGAGATAGCTATGTGGTGTTTAAAAATAATTATACAAAATAATGATTTTTTTAATCCCAAATTGATATTTGGTGGATCTTTCTTTGAAAAAAAATTCAAAATGCTGCAAGTCTCCCAAGAAACCAGTTATCATAAATAAAAAGGCTAATTAGAAAGATTTTGAAACAAAACACTGCCAGTGGTGCATTGGTTTTCTAACATATTGTCCATGGGTACCCACTCCAGTCACTAGGAAAGAAATATTGAAAACTCTGCTTCTCAAGTTACACAAGCATCCTAATGTATCTTCCATTATCCAAAATATACAAAGTAAGGCATAATACATTAGGGATGAGTGGAAATACCTTTTCTCAGCCCTGCCACCAGTAAAGGATGTAAGTAAAATCTATGTTTTGGCAGAACCAGATTTCAACATAGAAGTAATTCTCGATGAAAACGAGTCCACATGTTCTACTCATAATTGTGCACCAAAATTAATAATAACTGTGAACCAAACACTTTGTACAGGTTACCTCAATTTTATCACAGCTCTCAAAGGCAAAACAAGATAAGTACTAAAGATCCATAAATAACACAAATTGTGATATGACTCAACAAATCCACCTGCTTCTCTAGATCTTCCATTTTCTCTTCCACCTGGATACCCCTCTTTCTTCCACACATGTCCAGAGAAATGTCGATGAAGAGGTAATCAGCCAGGATACATATGCCAAGTAGGAAAGGGAGATCCCACAGACCTGAAGAAGTCTGTCCCTTCCCAGACTCCCCCTGCCCCAGAACAAACAGCCAGCTGAGACTTCAGGAGGTTAAAGGAATTCAACAAAGTTCACAACTTTCTCTGTTCCTCACACTTAAACATCGATGCTCTACACTTAAGAGCACAAAAATTGCTTAAGGTTCTCCATATCACAGAACACAGCAGAAGAGAGAAATCACTTACTCTCCCAACTTTGCCCAGATGGCCAGAGACACTCTTAGGATGATTTCTGAACCTTCAAAGAAGACTGAATCCCAGATCTTCAATACTGTGTGATTCGGGAGACATGTCGCAAAGAGAGTCAGAAACCACTGCATGGTGAAGACATTCGTAAGTGGGGGTTCATATCCACCTGAAACAAAACAGCAACAAAGTTTCTTCAGAATTGAGCACCTTTAGGATATACAAATACTCTCTCCTCTTTCAGACTCCCATATCCACCAAAAATGTTATATTTTACTGACTGCTTTCTTCATTCTAATTCCTGGTTCTTTCCTCTTCTTTCTTCCATGTTTCTGGAAGAACATAGGTGTTTTTAATAAAATCTCAGTAACATGAGCTTCACAATTTCTTTATAAAAACTCAGAAATCTTCACCTAAAACTTACTCTGGTTCTACCTATTATGGGGTACTGAATACTAAGGAGAAAGTTTTCCTCACCAAAAACAGAATAAAAAGAAAATATTTTTAGCTTTGTAAAAGCCATCAGCTTTTCAAACAATTTTAAGCATACTTTTATTCAAATGTGGCTAATAAGAATAAAATGTTCATTAGAAATTATCCACCTATTTCTTAAATTACATACATAATTATTACACCACAATGGATTTAAACTCAAAATCACTAACAGAAAGTTAGCTGGAAAATCTGCAATATTTAGATATTTAAAAGCATTAAATATAAAACATTTTGAACTAAATTATACACAGTTTTGAAGAAAGATTTGGGGCCCAGTCCATCATGAAATTTCTAAATTCATTAAAGGCACAACATTCCCTCCCACTTCCTGGGATAAGTGTGCATTTTAATGAAATAAAAAAATTTAGCTTTTTAGACTGATCATCCTTATCAATTATAATCAGTATTTATAATTACTTAAGTGTAAGCAAAAGAGATCTGTTTTCCTGAACTCATTTTCTTCCTTACCTTTGAACAAACATTTGCTCAGAGACTAGAATCTGAGGTTATTCTTCACAGCCAAATACAAGGCATTTGGGAGAAAATGTGTAATTCGGTGAAGTGTGTCTGACTATAGGACAGGTGAGTCTGGTCTACCTGCTAGCATTATGAAATCCATGCAGGTATACAGTTATATGGCACACCAAATTAAAAGACATTATTTAAATGGCTTCAAAGAAATGTTAGAGACACCCAACTGCCTTAAAATTTCCACTGTATTTTAATCAAAGATGAGATCCTCAAAATCTTTTACTATGTTCCCAGATTTTGTTTTGTTTTGTTTTTATTTTATTTTTGGTACTAGGGATCGAACTAGGGAGCTTGCGCTTGCGAAGCAGGCAGCGGAAGCACTGAGCTAAATCTCCGGCCCAGTGTTTCCAGATGTAAGTGAGTGTATGGTCTACAACAGGAACTGGCAACCATGTACAGGAAACAGCAAACTTCTGACCATTCTTTTTGATGTCCAGAGCATAGCCACAGAAGGCATGCAGTAGGTTTATTTACTTAGCCCAGTTACTCTCAGAGCTACTTTTCCATAACCTCAGTGGTTCTGGTAAAGCCACAGTATATGTAACATTGTACCTGCAACTCTGTTATAAAGACCTCATGTACCTACCAGTTTAGAGCAGCTTAACTAGATTGTAATACATGTAAACCATTCTCCTTCTAGAGTACAATATATCCTGTTAGTTGTTGAACTGGTACCAATGGAGTTTTAGGCTCATGACCAATGTCCTTCCCATAACCAGTTAAGAGGTTCAACATGTAGCCTTATATATTAAAATATATATTTTTTCAGTTTTGTTTTTATTCTCTAGAAATCTATTCATTGCACCAAACTCTTACAACAGAAATACCTGGAAATATGTATTTCCATTCAAGTTTAAGCTTATAGAGTGGAATCAGAGAAGCCAAATATTTTCAAAGATATAATAACAATGAATCATCTCTACCTCCACTTTCTTTGTTTGCAGTTCTCTGAAGAATATCCAGGTGCTGAGATAATTCAGGGAGCTTCATTCTCAAGAGATCTCTGAAGACAGCCATATCCACAGACAATGCTCGAAGGTTATTGACAAAATAGCTTTCAGGAAGTACCTTATCAATCAGGTAAATCATAATCTGAAGATAAAGATAAAGAACAAGACTGCTTCATAACAACCGGGATTCCAACATGTCCTAAAGAAAACGAAGGCATTCAAATAAATAAAATACAGTTGGCCAAAGCACAGTATCCTTTAAATATGTCAGTATCGAATGTTTTGGATTTTTCAAAGCTTATCTATACCCTGTGTAAGGAACAGGCAGCATAAATATCTAAGTAACTCAGACCTAAAGTCTGCTGCTATTTAAAATTTCTAGATGGGTTGCCAGACCTGAGTTCACCCTGTAAGTAGCTATGATTACACAACCCTCAGCCTCACTGAAAAGTGAGAAAACACAAGCCTCAGCAGCAGCCAGCAGGGGCCTTAGGATTGGCTCTTGAGTATCAACAGTTTTACAACCTCCATGAGCTGGCCTGTCATAAAACACCCACATTGAGGTAGCCCTTGACATTTACTCCCTATCAACCTGGGTTATTAGTGCACCTGGTGGTGACCTCTTGTCCATTTTCCTCTCCTGGGAGTGTTTTTTAAAATCTGCATTTCTTTCATAAGGTTATCACACAAATTCTTCAAGTTAGTATTTTCATTCTGATTTTTCTACTTGCACGACCTTTTCTAAAAGGTAAAGAATCACTAGAATGACCTAGCAAAACACATATCAGTTCTGTACCTTTATCCTTAGCCTTTTCCCTGTCAGCTGGGACACTCTGTAAACTCCCTTAAATACCAGCTCACTCTGAGAGCACCAGAAAACGAAATTAAGAGCAAAATCATAGGCTGGGAGTGTGGCTCAATGGTAAAGCACTTGCCTAGCATGTATGAAGCCCTAGGTTGAATGGCCAGTACCTCAAAAAAAAAAAAAAAAGAAAGAAAGAAAGAAAAGAAAATCACACCTGGCTCTATATGTTGGTGGAAAAGTAGCTGTCTCACACTTTCTTATTTCCAGGATACTACAAAATTCTATTTTTAAAAAACGTTATCTTCTAGCCCTGCCAAGGACCCATTTTTTTCCCTCATTCTTGACTCATAATTTCTACTTCTAGATAATGCATACAAAAGTATGCAAGGGCAGGCTCTTGAGAAGGCCCTTCTGAGGCCTTTCCTCAAGAGTGATCAGGCCTTTGCCTGTTATGCTAGGATAGGATATACCTGGTCCATGTATCATTGGTTGGAATAAGGAGTTCAGCAACAGGAAGAGGAGGACATTCAGCCCATGTGGAGGGTGGAGGTCCCACGTGGGACAGAGTAGATTCTCAGTAGAGTGCCCTGGTGGGAACCTAGTGCTCCACAGATTGGGAGAAAAGGGATTTATAGGACTATGAAGGCAAACATAAAGGTAATGGTCTATGGATTATATAGTACCAAGAAAAATACTGACCTTTTTATTAAGAAATTATGAGTCCCTCAGAACTACATGAAAGCAAGAAAAATAAATATTTCTTCAATTATCCTAGTAATATAAAATTCTCAGTGTAAAGTCATCTCAAAGTCTAGGGTTAATATATAGAGCCAACTTGCTCACTCTACCCACTACTGAATTTCAAAGGCCAAATCTTACGTCTTAAAAAATAACAAGAAGAAGGATACGTAATGGGAGAGCTTCAAATGTTTAACAAGTAATTAGAAACAAAACAGTTACTAAGGAAAAACAGTAAGTGCAGAGAAGCAGGAACACAGACACCCAATAATTTCCCCAGCACCAGCAGCCTCCTTTGCATATTAAATGTCTAACCACAAGGTTGACACATTCCTAAATGGTGATGATGTATAGTATCTCAATGCATGGTGCTTTTCTCTTGGAGGTAAAATAAAGAATATGCAGTTTCCAAGCTTTACCTATCTTTTTTTTTTTAACCTATCTTTTTGTGGGAATTTTTAGTTTCTCAAGCATCACTGAGTCCTTTCATGATGTGACTGGCACATACATCCCTTTCCCCAAGCTTCCTCATCCTACCTCCTAAGAATCACTCATTTCAGCTTTTCAACAGAACAGTTCCTATTTTAAAGTCATAAAAATGACACCTAGGGGAAAAAAACACTAATGCTGATAGATTGAATAAACAAAATTGCTTCTTAATTTAAAATGTTTTAAAGTCAAGTATTTGATTCGGCACTGCCTTTCTCTCTCCCCAACCCCTATTTGGTGAACAAGTAGCTTCGAAGCTATTTCTTTAAATACATGAATGGGAAAAGTGAGAGGGTGAATACCAATTTAGATCATGTCTGACTGGATTTATTTTTAAATCTATCATGATCTGTATAAAACCAGGAATAATATGTTTATCTTCCATATCACATTAGTTGGTGGTTGAAGTATACTCACTACACTCAGAACTCTGACTTGAACATAAACACCAAGTATTCATCTCATACATCACAAACACTGTAATTAACACCAGCTTAAAGGTTCAAACATGAATTGGCAACCCACACTGCCCTAAGCAAATAAGACCATTTTGCATGGGAAAGGCTTTGTTTCTCATAAAGATTATTTTTGGTAACTGATTGACTCACCTTCAAACCTACAAACTTACATGCTAGTGTTCCATCCTTTTTTTTTTTTTTTTTTTTTTGGTACCAGGGATCAAACTCAGGTCCTTGTGCTTGCGCAGCAGGTGGCGAAACCACTGAGCTAAATCCCCAGCCCTAGTGTTCCATCTTAAAGTGGTTCCAGAACTGTTTTTTCATTAATAAAGGTCTGAGGCATCACATATTAAAAAATAATGATATAAGTCACCTCCATAACCTTTCTCCATGCAAACATCTTCTATAGACACTGTCAGACCTCTTCCTCCATACCTTTCCCAAAACATGAAAGAGTAAAGCAACCAAGACAGTCCAACCAGGATTAAATGTTACTAGCGTAAGAGGCAGGTCTACCTCCTGGTAGTCACATCCTTGTATAGTAGGCCATTCCCTTCAAGTATAAACTGGACCTGGTAATCACTTCCAATGAACAGAATATTAAAAAAATCATAGATGTCACTTCTGATATTTGGCTACAAATCTATAACAAACTCTTCTGCCCTGCTTGCTCCCTTTAACTCTCCTGCTCCCTCTGAGAGATTCTAGCCACCAGGTTGTAAGGTGGAAGGGCTTATGTAGCAAAGATCTGAAAGAGGCCTCCAGCCAACAGGCAGTAAAAAGAAAATTGAGATTCTTAGTTCAACAGCCTGTGAGGAATTAAGTCTTCCCAATAACCACATGAAAAAACTTAGCAAATGCTCCCAACTCCAACTGAGGGTTCAGATGAGACCACAACCAATATTTTGAACACAAATATTTTTAATGCCACAGTGAGGTAACCACAAGCAGGCTAAGCTGTACCCAGATATCTGGCTGAAAGAAACTATGAGGTAATACAAGCTTGCTGTTTTAAGCAGCTAAGTTATTAATCAAAAAAAGGATAATTAATACAATTAATATTTAATGTGTTTTAAAAAGCAACTTGACTTACAAGTGAGATTCAAAACACAGTTGGTAGTCACATGATTCTGTCCTTTGACATGGAATTAACTTGGGAGAGATGCTAACACAGGTAATTACAAAGGCACGGAAAACACATTGGAAAGGGGAGAGGCATACAAGTAGAGAATTATGGTTCCTGTTTTTCACTCTAGAAGACGTTCAGTTACCTCCATCAGAGCCAGCTACTCACTTTCAGTGCATCCCCTTCATTGCCCTCCATCACTTCCAGAATTAGTGCGGCCAGGATGTTAAAGCCCTGGCAGTACCCAACATTCTTGTTCCACCGAGCATAGGCCAGCAGCACTCGCTTCAACACAACTCTGTCCTGCTCAGCTTCCTGGCCACAGTAAGAACTACACCCTGTCCGATGAAGGTCCTAAAAAGAAAAGGAAACCATTTTTTAAAATAAACTCTTAATACTCCCTCTAAAAAAACAATACCTCCTGTTGTCCATTCATTTAATACAATTAAAATTAGCAACATGACTTTTAGTAACCATTTTATAACTTTTTACTTTATATACTGGTTTTTTTTCAGCCCTGGGAATTGAATATAGGACCTTGTGTATGCGACATCCCCAGCCTGGATTTTTAGCTTTTAAAATGTATATGTAACTTATACACATGGGCCAAATATTTTTAACTTTTTAGTTTTCTTTTTCCCTACTTTGGTTTCTCTTCAGATCATATAAATCTTTCACTTTTTAGTTTTCTTTTTCCTAATGTTCTTAATATGCTGAGACTTGCACGAAGTTCAGTCAGGCTAATTTTCTACTTAGAGTATTTCCAGAACTAACCCAAAAAGTGTTAATTAACAAAAATTACATAATTTATATAAAATGATAGTATGCTTTATTCATATATGTATACAAGTCATTTCAACAGATATATGATAGATGTTAATATTATTATTTTCTACAAAATATGATATATATACCTTTGTTTTGTTTTTTGAGACAGGATCTTGCTATGTGGTTCAGGCTGCCCTTGAACTCACTATGTAGTCCAGGCTGGCCTCAAACTTGCAGCAATCCTCCTGCCTTAGCCTTCCAAGTGCAGGGATTATAGGCATTGGCCACCAATGCCTGGCTTCAAAATATGGTATATTTTGCTATTAAAACTCTGAATAATATTAAGGAGTAAAATCAAAATAGCAAAAAATGTATCTGCACTATAAAGAGGCAGAAAAATCACTCTGTCCAAATTGTTTTATAAATTTATGTAACAACAGAAACATTTGCTGTGCTTTCACATGTAATGAGGGGAATATCTATAATTACTGAGCAGAGTCTATGATTTTCAGGAGCTGAAGTCATTTTACTTACATAGCATTCACCTCAGTGAGCAGAGATCCTCTTAATAACATGATTATTATAAATGTTCAGTGCTTTAATTCACAAGTCAAACAGAAAGAAAATATTTCAAATATGAAATACTTTCTCTGTAAAACCTAATCTGAAATTCCAAATGAACAACTGAAATGTGGATAATGCAAAGGTTTTAAGAATGCAATGTGAAATGCCATACTTTTTTTTAGCATTTGTCAGAAACAGACCAAGTTAGACTGGAAAGTCGCTCATTTTAGTACTTCCTCCTTTAGAAAGTATATTCAAATATGCAAAACATTAGCCATCTTGTGGCAGCCAAAATTTGGATGAAACAATCTTCCTTTTAAAATCTTAGCTTAGCATCACACTGTAATGCACCCTGAAATAAAAAAGCATGTGCTAAAATAAAGCCTTATGTAAGAGGATTACTCTGTAATCAAATGAAATCTGCATCCTTGGCTTTTACCACCAGTCTCTAAGCAAGTGTAATAATCCAGGTAGGGAAAGCACAGCTGCCTTGAACTCTCAATCGCTTGGTTTAAAATAGATCCATCAGTTAACCTAACTATATAAATTAACAATTAAAAAGTTATCAAAGACCCTAATAAGAGCCAAATGATTCTAAAATAAAATATACTTAGCTTCTCAATGACTAACTATAATGTAAAAACCCAGTTGACAGCACTGACTCAAACTATGTGGAAAAAAAAAAGAGGGGGTATTTCAATCTTCCATGGAGTGAGGAAGATAAATAATCTGAATATAAATGGAATAATTTTCTTACTGGCAACAATTAAAGTTATGAAGACAAGCCATAGGGTTTTCCATTTTAAAAAGCTATTAAATAATGAAATGAGGTGGCAGAAAATATTCAGACATTTAGACCATAACATACTGATCATTTGGCTCTTAAGAGGTGGAGGTGGAAATGGAGGTAGTGGAGGTGGTGGTGGTTAGAACAAGAGGCCAATGTCAGGGGCATTACCTTGACTATCTGAATCCCCATCGAATCATCATCAGGATTACTCCTCTCATTGAAAGTGAAACGCATGGTTTTGTCCCAGTCAATGGCTATACTGTGCAAATAATGATCTGCCAAAGTCAACCAAACCTAAAATATTACATAAAGATTGCTAAAGTAGAATATGTAGCTTCACTTTTATTGGAAAATAGTTATTACATCCAACAAGAAAATGAAACTATTCCTAGACCACATATAGCTTATACATAGAGATCTAAAACAGCCTCCTCAAAATTTGTACTATACTAAATTGTACCCTTTGGGGCTTTTCATCAAGTCTTTCATAAATATTTGTTGAGTTTAGACCGTGTTCCAAGGAACAACCCCAACATTATGAATGCTTCTGAGCCTAAACCAACATTCTTTTCAAATTTTATTTCAGCTCATTGAAATTCTATTCTAGTTGCATTCTTCTTGGCTTTGAATCTCTCTCTCTGTTTGGGCAAGAGCCACCTGGTCACTCATGAGGAATGGGCCTTTTGTCATCATTCAGGCCTCTGCTGTTAAATCATTCCTCCGTCACACACATAAAACTGACAGATGGACTCCCATGATGAATAACTTTTTTCAAAAAAAAAGTCATTGGATATTTTTACTCATTTATCTTACCCAGAAAATCAGTTTGTATAAAATGTATTTCATAATGCTATTTTTATTTTTAGGATCCCTCAATATTTGAATTCTCAGATTTATTTGAACTCCTAGATTTATAAATGAATATGCTAAGAATACTTTCAAGTTTTAGTATTTCAACATAATTTGGCAGAAATAGCATTGACCTCTTACTATATCATTAATATCTCTAACCAGACCTCTAAGCATCAGAATTGTTTTTCTAAATGCCCGCTTAATACCTTCAATTTCGACATCTAATAGGCATCTCAAGCTTAACAGATCTAAAACCATCGTGTAACTCACCAGCACCCCCAACTCTACATAAATATCTATATCCAATCATACACCCCTGCTCCTCTCAACCCTCTCAACAATAACTCTACCTTTCTATCACTCGGGCCAAAATTCTGATGTCATCCTTGACATCCCTCTGACACCTTACATTCAGCCCATTAGAAATTCATGTCAGCTCAACTTTCTGACCCCCTCCATCTCTACCACAACTCTGATCCATCTCACTTAAACTACTGTAAGTCTCCTACTGCTCTCCCTGCTTCTGTCTTGGTCTCTTATATTCTCAAGTCAGCAGCAGCCCAACTCCTACTATAGCCTAGGCCCTACATGACCTGAGCCCCCACATTGCCTCTATGACCCACCTCTCCTATTGCTTTTCCCTGTTGCTCTCTGTGCTCCCCTCCCTGCCCCAACCATCACCACCACCTGCTTCGGCTTCACCATTCCTGAGATGCTCCCACTTGAATGCATTTGCATTGGCTGTTTGCCCTGCCTGGTCAGTCTTCTCCCAGGTAGCTGCATGGATGACTTCTCACCTTCTTCAGGGCCCTACTCACATGTGCCTTTGCTATTTAAAATTCCACCTCCTTACCCCATTCTCTCACACTCGCCTTATTTCTTTCTTTGTTTTATTTTTATCCATAGCATTTATCACCATCTGACATACTTTATATTTTATTCATTGTAAGCTCCTTGAGGACAAAAACTTCTGTCTGCTTTTTTTGTTTCCACTCCTGCATCCCCAGCACCTAGAACAATACCTGGCACAGAATGAATGGATCAATAAATGCTCAGTGCATGCATGAGTGAGGAAGAGAGAAAAATCAAATTACTAATCCTAGAATACATTTCTGACATTCCAGACACTTTAAAGAAGACACAGGTAATCCTTTCCTATTGTAGCCCTATGAAACCACCTTACCTTTCGCCTCCATTCCTTTGGTATCCCTGTTGATAGTCTGGCAACTGCCTTGAGAGCATCATACCACTGGGAACAGAGAAGAAATATCAGAGAATATTGACCTGGATAAACACTTTTCAAACTTTTTCTATCTTGACATCCATGGAATATGATAAAATTAGTACAGCACACTAGGATAAATAATTAAAGCTTCTTTCAGCCAGAAGTTATCAGTCTAGGGGCTGTGACTGCCCCCAAACCCTGCCCATTAAGGACCCTAAAAACATCTGTGACAATACACTACAGTAGTTTGAAAGCTCTGGTTCAAAAACCAAGACATGTATAAGGTGTTCAGAATAACAGAAATTTGGTTTTTAAATGTTTTCACATTTGTACGATTCATGGAAAGTACAAAATTTTTCATAGCAAGTATAAACCTAGGTTACTTGCAGTTTCAAAGGTTATTTTATCTGAAACTGAAAAGCAAAAAATGACTTCTTATGCATATCAAAGTAAACAATATTCTCACTTTAAAAATAAATCTCAGACACAAG